CCTCTCCCCTCTCCTTTTTCCTCCCTCTCAGTCTCCCTCTCCCCTCTTCCCCCTCTCTTTCTCCTCTCCCCTCTCCCTCTCCCCCTTCCCCTCTCTCCTCTCTCTCCTCTCTCCCTTCTCTCTCTCTCTCTCTCTCTCTCTCTCTCTCTCTCTCTCTCTCTCTCTCTCTCTTACTTTTCTGTTGCTGTGCCAAAATACCATGACCAAGGCAACGTAGAGAAGGAAGAGTTTATTTTGGCTTATGGCCCCAGAGAGGTGAGTCCATCAAGGCGGGGAAGCACACACGGCAGCAGGCAGCAGGCATGGTGGCAGGAGCAGGAAGCAGCCTCCCCACGAACACAAAGCAGAGCGCAAACTGGAAGTGAGGCAGCTGTGGACTCTCAAAGCCCATGCCCAGCCATGATCCCCAGCCATGCTTTCTCCAACAAGGACACACCGTCCCACAACCTCCTCCAAACAGCACCATCAACTGGGGACCAAGTCTTCAAATATGTGAGCTTATGGGAGACATTCTCACTCACCATCACATAGAGTGTGTGTGTGTGTGTGTGTGTGTGTGTGTGTGTGTGTGTGTGCATGTGTGTACATGGGAGGTCAGAGGAGAACATTGAGTGACCTCCTTTGTCACTTTCTACATTCTTCTCTTGAGATAGGGTCTCCTGCAGGACTTGAAGCTAGGATGGAGGCCGCCAGCTCTAATGATCCTCCTGCCTCCACCCTTTGGAGCTCTGGACATTAGCAACATTTCTGCCCTCTACCCACCAGACTTCAGCATCACTCCCTACCCCCTTAGACAACAGCAAGTCTCCAGACGTTACCAAATGTCCCCTGATGGGCAAAATTACCCCACGTTGAGAATTACTCATCCAGACATGGGCACACATCTCCTCCCTCTTCCCCTTGTCAAGATGATGAGTTTTCTTGACCTGACAGGTAATTTCATAACATGTTTCTAGAGCTGTTTATTGAAAAAAAAAAAAAAAACACAGTAATTCTCTGATGAAAGGGGTATTTTGACTTGAGTGGTGTGAAGGCCCTGTGAAAGCACAGCCCAGGGATCGGCTTTGTTTGTAGAAGATAGTAAATCTGTTGTCAGCACTGCTTCTGATTTGGGTTACAGATACTGAATTTTCAGTCTTCTAAAGTCTCTGCCTCTGACTTTCTGCATCTACTCAGGAGTGTTTCCCCTAATGTGGCCTCTTATCCATGTTTCTTACACCCAATTATTCCTCTTTTCCACTAAATTAAGGTTAGAGTTTATGTTGCTGGAAAATATTTTGTAAACTTAAAAAGTTTCCTAAATTGTTAAATTTGGATGTTATCGACGTCTGATTTTAAATCTATAATAATTTTTTTTTCCTGCCAAAGAAAGTGGCAGTCATTAAATTGGTTTGGGATAAGCAGCTTTTATGATTAGAAAACTTACCCGTATGCATTAATTATTAAATTTCAACAACTACAGTGTTGGTGTGGGCAGAGAGAGCTGGCCCTGCCCCCTCACCTGGGGAAGGGGAGGTCCAACAGGGGCCTGGGCTGACCAACTCAGCTACTAGCCAGGCCCAGATCTAGGGCCTTGAATTGGCCCACCCCAACATCTACCCCGTCTATGAGCTGCTGGAGCACATGAAGGGGCCAGTCCTGGGAATCACAGTGACAGGGACAACGGCAGGATATCCGAGGGGAGTCTCAGGGAGGGTCCAGTATTGATGGTGTAGCAGAGCACAGAGGCCTTGAGCCGGACCAATGACTCGTTGCAATGAACATTCGCAAGTAAAGCTCTTTGGGTAAAGGGTAGACTGCGAGACACTGCAGCTTCCAATGCCACTGTGACTGGTGAGTATGTGATGGAGAGGCAGGAAGGAGGATGGAGGAGCGGCGTGGTGTAAGTACGGTGGAGCTGGAGATGCAGCAGCTGTGACCGGTATGAAAGAAGGATGCGCTCCATAGAGGAGCAAGTTGTCGCCCAGAGGGGTCGGTGGCATTTTTATTTTCTTTTTGGCAAGGGTTGAGGGCAGATATGGAAGGACTGGGAAATGAGAGGGATTGGAGTGCATGATGGGAAACTCCCACTCAATCAGTAAAATATTACGTTTAAAAAAAGTTTTCAAATAAAATAAAACATTTCAGCCAGGCAGTGGTGGCGCACGCCCTTAATCTCAGCACTTAGGAGGCAGAGGCAGACAGATCTCTGTGAGCTCAAGGCCAGCCTGCTCTACAGAGCCAGTTCCAGGATAGCCAGGGCTATACGGAGAAACCCTGTCTAGAAAAAATAAATAAATATGTTTAAGAATCAACAATTAAATTATGTTATGATTCCTATCTAGGGTTCTTGTATTAAAGATTTGGTGCTCTGAGCAGTGCTGTTGTGAGACGGGGAATTTTGAGAGGTGAGGGTTGGTGGGAAGAAGTGAGGTCATTGGGAACAGGACCTTGAAAGGCCCACTGTGAGTCTAGAATTCCACTTCTCTTTCACTACTCAGATGCCATGCAGTGAGCAGTTCTTCCCCAGCCACCTTCCCACTGTGACACAAGTCCCTGTCACAGGCTTAGAAGCAGTGAAGTCAGCTCACACGGACTAAACTCCAAAATGAGAGCCCAAATAAGCCTTTTCTCTCTGTAAGTACTTGCCGCAGGAACTAGGCTGACAAACACAAATTCATTGTTCATGTCTTGCTGATTTTGTATTTTCACAGTTGCTTCAGCTTGTGAGTTTATTTTACTTAGGTTATAAAAAACAACAACAACACATAAAACTAAAGGTAATCTTTGACCATAAGTTCATGCAGGCTGGGATGTGACTTACTGACAGAGTCCTTGCCTAACATCTGTGAGTCTAAGAGGCCCTGGGTTTCATCTCCAGCACATAAAAATAAATACTAAAAACTTCCATGGTTACAGATGAAGTCGAGACTGCAAAAATTAGTATTAGTGTATTAATTCCACCAGATTGTTTCTGTATTGAAACATTTCAATAGGTTGTTATTTATATACATTTACATGAGACATATTTTTCTTTTAAAATTATTTATTAATTTTTATGTTGGCCCACAACAGTGGACTTCACTGTAACGTTTTAGCGAACAGTTTGCATACCTAAAAATGAACATGTTCACAGGAAGTTGACAGCAAGAGATGAGCCGTCACTTTGACGTCGCCATCCAGAGGGGATCCCTGTGAACACTGAGGGAGTTAAGTGAGATCACCCTTCATGTCCATTGTCTCAGTTACTTTTCTAGTGCCAAGAAAAAACACCGTGACCAAGGTAACGTCAAGAAGAGTTTATTGGGAGCTTTTAGTTTCAGAGGGTGAGTCCATGGCTATCTTCGTGGGAAGCAAGGCAGCAGGCAGGCTGGCGTGGTGCTGAAGCCGTGTATCTGAGAGGGGGGGCAGGGAGGGAAGGAGGGAGAGAGAGAGAGAGAGAGAGAGAGAGAGAGAGAGAGAGAGAGAGAGAGCGCTAACTAGGAATGTCATGGGCCTTTGAAACCTCAGTACCCATTCCCAGGGACACATCTCCTCCAACAAGGCCGGACCTTCTAATCCTTCAACCAACAGGGGACCAAGCATTCAAATATATGAACTTATGGAGGCCATTCTCGTTCAAACCACCACACTTATGTTTTTTTTTTTTTTTGTTAGTCTTGGGAAGTGTGACTATAAATATGTAGTCACCCATTGTTATCTATGGGGAATTAATTCCAGGACCCCTCAGGATATGTGTATGTGGGTATGTCTGCTCATGTGACTGAGGGTCCCCTCAGAGGCCAGAAGAGGGGTGTCAAATACCCTGGAGCTGGAGTGGTGGTAAGCTGCCTGACATGGGTGCTAGGAAGCAAACTCTGGTCTTCTGGAAGAGCAGCAAGTGCTCTTAACGTCTGAGCCATCTCTCCAGTCCTGTAGTAGCATTCGGCATAGCCTGTGGGCCTCCTCGTTTACAGTACTTACATTCTCTAGATGATCTTACATTGTCTTTAGATGGCGTATAATACCTAACGCAATATAAAAACTATGTGAGTATTTATTCTGTATAGCTTAGTGAGTAATGAAAAGTTTAAAAAAACAAGGTCTGTTTGTGTTCAGTACAGAAGCAACCGCCACAAACATGATTATACCTTCCATGTGAACCTGGTTGAATGCATGAGCCCATGGCTGAGGAGGCCTGACTGTTTTCTGTATAGGCAAACTGTCCTGCACTGTGGGACTGTGGGTGATAATCCAGTTCTTCTGTATTCTGTATCTAATGCTGCAGTGAAGGTCTTTGGATATAAACATTTTCACACATGTCTGAGCAGAAGAGAGGTACAAGGTCAAAGGGCATGAATTTCTAAGGCTAATTAATACACACTGCCAAACCACATCAGGAAGGTTGTTCCTTCCCATTTTAAGTTTTTATTGTCCCTTCTTCTGAAGGGCTTCCATCTTGTTGTGTCAGCCTTCAGGCCAGAGGAGACATTTCCCATAGGACATGCCTCAGATATGTCAATGTAATCAGATCTACTGGGAGATATCTGTCAACAGCCTCCTTAGACCCATCTAGGACCATCTGTCAATGGCAACTCTAATATATTTTTAGACGATGCTCAGGCAGATGCCAAAAGCCACATTTGCAACTGAATTAGGTTTTTCCATCAGTTATGTTGCAAAATTGAACTGTGTTAATGACATGTGACATTCTTTGTACAATATCCAGAGACTCAATTAAGGACACATCCTTGTACAGTTAAGGTCAGATTGCAAGACAGGGCAGGTGAGTTTCCTTTCATGTGAATTCTATGACACTCATTCTATCCCAACCACAATGCAAACAGCAGCAAGGCTTACTTGCCAAGTCTTAGATCTAAGCAAGACTGGGCAGAAAAACACAGCACTTAAATTCAGGGCTAATGACCTGAACAGATAGAGTGGTGTAGTCTGACCACCACATACGTGACTGGCATCTTGCAGTGGATGTGAATTCTATAATACCAAATGATCAAAATAAATAAATATGACCATTTATGCAAACTCAGGATGTGGAAAGGACTTACCTTCTACTATTTGAAAAGATTCAAGAAATTAAAAGTCACAGTATGGTTGTAGGTTCTGAACGGATTATGTTGTCTAGACTGTAAAAAGCCTGTAGAGTTAATTTATGTTATTTGGGATATGTAGTGTTCTAAATGCTAGTGATTGTTCAGTTTTAACCCCTTTTCAGACTCTCTCTGCCATTCTCCCCACCTAAAGAATCAAGGAACTCAAATTAGTCTTTAACTTCCAAGAAACTGGAAACGTATTTCAAGTGTTCAAATAGCTAAGGTTGTCTTTGCCTTCAAATGGAAAAAGTACTTATAGGTCCTGTGATTGTTTGAATAAGAATGGCCTCCATAGGTTCATATATTTGAATGCTTAGTCATCACAGAGTGGCACTGTTTGAGAAGGATTAGGAATTGTGGCCTTGTTGAAGTAGGTGTGGCCTTGTTGGAGGAAGTGCATCACTGAGGGTGGGATTAAAGGTTTCAAAAGCCCAAGCCAGGCCCAACATCACTCTCTCTTCCTGCTGCCTACAGATCCAGATGTAGAACTCTGACCTGCTTCTCCAGCACCATGTCTGCCTGCATGTTGCCATGCTCCCCACCATGATGATAACAGACTAAACCTCTGAAACTGTAAGCAAACCAAAATCAAATGTTTTCTCTTGTAAGAGCTGCCATTGTCCTGGTGTCTCTCCACAGCAATAGAACTTTGACCACGATGGGTTCTCTTTGCTCTATCCCTCTGGCTAGTTGAATCACTCTGGCATGTAACTGCCTAAGTCTCCTTGCTCTTCAGGCTAGTTCTTAGCTTGCTGGGCCAGACCGTTACCAAAGCCAGGTAGACAGAAACTTTAAAGAACATAAAAACAGTTAGAAATCAAGGGTTCTCATCACTTATTCACTGGAAGAGCAAGCCTCAGCCAAACTGCTTCCGACCAGGATGCTTCTAGTAAGGGTGGGTAGCTCCTGGCTCAATGCATCTTAAGTAGGTATGTCTCCCTCAGATGGCCTGTTTGAGATGATAAGTGTAACCAATCATGTGGCAAATATCCTAGAAAAAGAGGCCAAAATGCCCCCTTTTCCTTTCTTAATTGTCTTGTTGCTGTGACAGAGTGCCCTGAACAAAGGCAGTTTAAAGGAGGAAGGGATATTTTGACTTTCAGTGTGAAGGTACAGTCCATCGTGATGGGGAAGTCTTGGCGGCAAGAGTCCAAGGCAGCTTGTCATATTGCAGCCACAGTCAGGGAGGAGAAAACAAGAAATGTCAGCGCTCAGGTAGCTTTTTATTCCTGCAGTCCAAGGTCCAAGCTCAGAGAAGGATACTGCGCACCTTGAGGATGGATCTTCCTGTTCCAGCCTGCTACACCAGACAGTCCTTCCAAGGCTAACCTAATCTAGATAATCCTTCACAGGCATGCCCAGAACCTTGTTTTCTAGGTGATGCTAGGTCCCATCAAGTTAATAACCATTATTAATATCATACATATCACACTGGTATGTGCTAAAGATCACAAATCAGAACGAAACCAAACAATAATAAAAACCCTGATCCAATAAATGCTAGCCAGGGCTACAAGCATGTGGCTCTAAAAAGCTAGGCTGGGTCATTTATCCCTGAGAACTGGTTTTGAACAGTGAGAGATGAGAGTACCAGGCCCACGCTAACCAAAATTTGTGCTATGGTTATTGCTCCCAGGCAGCATCTGCTGGGAGACAGGTCAGGTGTCTTCATGCACTGAACCTCAGCTAAAAATATGGTGTCATTGAGATGATATGGTATGCATTTAAAAAGCATGGTCGCCACAACCAGATATGGATGACTTTTATTGAGGAATCAACCTGTATTTGTGTTCCCCATAAGACAGTCCCAGCCAACATGTGAATAGTAAATTGGACCAATTCTCCTCTGCCGTGAAAATGTCAGTTTTAGATGGAAGGGAATGGAAAAGCTAATGGCTTTAAAAGCGGGCGCTGAAGTTCTGTTCTCTCTTGATAAACGGGAAGGATTGAACAACCTCAGGTGAGGATGGCCTGCCCGGCTGATGGGCTTCTGCTCTTACTTTTGGAGATTTTTCTCAGTTTTCCCTGGTGGGAAATAGCTTTTCCCCATGTGAGGTAACGGAAATCCCACCCAAGTCAGTGCTCTGAGAAAATATATTAAGTCATGGAACTGGTGTCTTAGAAACTGATTTAGATAGCAAAACCTTGTCCCTCATGTCCACCATCTATCTTGTCCCCTCTGGGACTTGACTGCCTCCTCTTATCTCTGTTTCCTGTTAGGTTAGAGTAGTGCTAACCTCTCACCTCCAAAGTCCAGCAGGTAAGCCTGAGTCTCCTTCCCAGAATCCCCGTAAAAGTGTCCTTTCTCCTCAGGTCGGCTCAGCTTGTCACATAATTATTATAAGTCAACCATTAGAGCCCAGGGGATTGCAGTGCCCTGGTTGGCTTGAGACTAAATGACATGCAATACTCCTGAGCCAAGAGTGTGATTCAGGTAGAATCAGATGATTGAGAAAGAAGATTTGGTGGGATCATCAAAAGAAGGGAGATTGGATTCTGGATAGTCAACAACAATGGGTATCCAGCAGAGTGCATGTTTTTCCCACCCTGATTCAAAAAACTAAAATCCTAAAATCAAGACTTTTTGGGTACCAACATGATATCACAAGTATGATGGTTCAATGTATATTTTGTTTTGTGTATATAATTTTTAAAATGACCGCATAAAATTGCCTTCAGATGATGAGTATAAGGAATATATGAAATAAACGAGTTTCATGTTCATTCTTGAATTCCATTGCCAAAATACCTCAGTGATTCCCAAGTCTAAAAACCAGAGCATTTCTGGTTCCAAGTATTGGATAAGGGCTACTCTAACCATACCACTGACACCAGCCCCAGAAAGTTCTTCCCTGTTACCTTGAGAGACAACTCAGCAAACAGTCTGATCGTACACCTACACAGGCTGTACACTCCACCATAATACATGGAAATGAAATAATAAATAAGCCTGGTGAGGGAATGGACTCAGGGTAGTGATCTCTAAGGAGGGGAAACAAATGGGAGCTAGGGAGCTGGGGGATGACGTCATCAGCAGTAAGTGCTCAGTGTGGCAAGCATGAGCGCCCGAGTTCAACCCCCAGAACAACCCATGAGCAAATGCCAGGTGTGGTGTTCCATGTCTGTAATCCCAATGCCGGGTGTATGTGTGCAGCCAGGTGGATCCCTGCGCTCGCTGCTCAGGCAGCTAGCCCAATCCGGGAGAAGTGGGAGTCAGCCTCAGAGA